TTGATATATAACGAGAAAAATAACACCTAACCCACTTCCACGGAGTCATTTCCAACCTTTTCAGAATCATATAGGACAACATAAAACTTTTCCATAAGAATTTTGATGTGTTAACCTTTATAGAAGTGTGCTCTCAAGAAGCAGCTGATAAACTCAAACCTTTGGCCTTAGGTAAGCAGCAAAATGTCTAATCTACTATACCATGAAAACCAAACCCAGAATTACCCTTGCAGACAGTTGTCGCCTTACTTTGAGTGTGGGAATTTTGGCATCACACATACACATATTAATTAATTATATAGAGAGAAATTAAGATATATGGTACATATATAGATTATATATTTGGAAGCAGGAGTGGCATCCACTTCCTAAATAATATGCCTCTGGAAACTCTATGAACTTTGATAAATGATCATAGTTGCAGAAAGGCTTTGGGTTTTTTGTTCATAGGGTCACTATGAATCTTGCTTGACTTGAAGGCAATCAACAACAACAATATATACTATATATATCTATATCTATCTATCTATCTATCTATCTATCTATCTATCTATCTAAGATTTGGTATCTTTTCCAAAATGAGAGTCTAAGAGTTGATGGAATACCAATTGACATACTCCAACAAACAGATGCTGCCCTGGATGTGCTCACTAGGTTGTAACAAGAAATCTGAAGGACAACTACCTAGCTAACTGACTAGAAAAGGAGATTCATATTTATTCTCATTTAAAAAAAAGTGACCTGCCAGAGTGTGGAAATTATCAAACAATATCACTAATAACACACACTAATAAAATCCTGCTGAAGACTGATTACCCAGAAATGACTGGAATAATACACCGACAGAGAACTACTAGAAGGGTTTAGAAGAGGCTATGGCACTAGAGACATTATTGCCAATGTCAGATGGATCTTGGCAGAAAGCAGAGTACCAGAATATCTACCTGTGTTTCATTTACAATGCAAAGGCATTTGACTGTGTGGATCACAACAAATGTGGTTAACCTTGAGCAAAATGGGAATCTCAAAACACTTGATCATGCTTATGCAAAACCTACACTTGGACCAGGAAGCAGTCCTCAGAACAGAGCAAGGAAACACTGTATGGTTCAAAATTATGAAAGGAGTATATCAGGGATGCATCCTGTCTCCATACCTTTTCTATTTGTATGCAAAACAGATCACTGGGGACCCTGATGGGCTTTATGAGGAAGAATGTGGAAGACTCGTTAGCATCTTGTGTTATACAGATGACACAATCTCCTTGCTGAAACTGAGGAGGACCTGAAGCACTTGCTGCAGAAGGTCAAGGATTGCAGCTTTAAATATGGATTGAAGCTCAACATCAAGAAAATAAAGATTCTCCCCCCTGGGCCAATTGGCAGCACCATGATAGATGGAGAAGACATTGAGGTTGTTAACAATTATAGCTTGCTTGGCTCCATAATCAACTCTTGGCACCAGCAGTAAGAAAAACACAAAAAAAATTATATTGGGAAAATGTGATGTCAGGGATCTCTCCAGAGTACTGAAAAGCAACAATATCAGTCTAGAGACTATGGTGTGCCTAATCTAGACCATGGTCTTTGCCATTACTTGCTATACATCAGAAATCTGGAAAATGACTAAAGATGACAAAAGAAGAATTGATGCCTTCAAGTTGTGGTGCTGGAGAAGAGTCCTGAACATACCTTGAACCACAGAGAAAACAAATAAATCTTCCCTAGAGAGAGTGAACCCAAGTTTCTCCTTGAAGCTAGCATTTTGAAGCTCTGTTGCCCAGACATTGGCCACATTGCCAGGAGGGGCCGATTGTTGGAGAAGGACATCATGCTTGGAAGGGTGGAGGGACAGCACAGGAGAGGAAGATGAGATGGATTAATACAGGAACTGGGGAAATGGGATTGGATGTGTCAGAATCACGGAGACTGACTCAGGACAGGTAGTCTTCAGAGCTTCTATACATAGAGTCTCTATGGGTTGCAGGGGACTCAAGAGCACATAGCAACAACAACAACATTGCATTACAAAGGCAAAAAAGTTCATTCATTCACACATGCATTCAATTTATTGAGAGTTGACCAGGATTTGAGATCCAAATTGGCCTTCATAAGAAGAAGAGCAATTATTTGAAATTAAACAAGAGGAGAAAGAGGGAATGACAATTACCCAAGCAGGTAATTTGCAACTTCTTGTTCTTGTTGCTGTTGATTGTCTTAGAGACTAGCAGGATTTATAGCAACCCTATGAACAAAAAGCCTGAAGACTTTCTGTGACTATGGTCATTTATCAAAGTTCATAGATTTTCCAGAGGCATGTTGTTTAGGAAGTGGATGCCATTCTTGCTTTTTAGCTTGTTCTTTAAAAAAATTGCTCTGTTGAGAATACACACATACAACAATCCAGACCCATGTGTTACTTAATTCACTTAAATGAATTCAATTTAGTACCTGATTATCTTATTGAAGTTGTGCATTCATTCTCCTCTCCCTTTTGTTTTTCTTTCATTAACATAAATTCATGATTTCTTAAGGTTCCTAAATAATTTTCATTTAAATAGGCTGTTTAAAATATCAAAGTGTATGCTTGATGGAATCTCAACAAGAAAGCTTCACAATGCAATCACAAGATATTTTTAAGAAAAATGAAATGTTCTTTTTTTGATATTGTATAATATCAAATAAATATATTACATAAGCACAATATTAAAAAGTTTTTTCACAATACAATAACAAATTAAATTGGGGAAAATGAATTAAATTGAAGGCTAAAATTACCTAAATTTGCTTAAAATCAAGCATTTCAGGTACTTTCAATTAATTATTGTCAAGAAAGAGCTTTAAGACTGAAAACCATTGGCTTTAAAAATATACTCTGAATTTTATAAAAGCCCTCTGAGGAACAACTGCAAGAAAGCATTTGTGAGGTTCAATTGTTGTGTTATACATTGTGATACATTGTGCAAGGACATCCAGAGACATTGGTTATTTATTCATCACCATCTAGAACACAAAACTAATTCTCTGTGTATTGTTATGCTTTATATTTTTGTTTAGCTAAGACCGGAAAGAATAAAACACACTGCAATTTTTTTTGTATGCTGCAGAAGGGAATTTTTAATATTCACTCAGCATCATGTGGTTCTTCAGATGCCTGAGTTATACCAGTATGTGAGGAGGGAAAAAAATCACCTTATGCCTCTGGCAAGTGAATGACAAAGAGAAAATTGCTTCTTCCTCCAAAGGGAAAAACCACAGAATTATAGTATCTAAAACTCTAGGAGGCCACTAAAATGGTTTTCTTATCATAGGGTGACTAAGGCTTCATATTTTAAGGAAAACATATCTATTAGGACCACTCATCTCATAGAGATGTCTCAAATTCTAACTTTAATAAATAGCTGTGACTAAAAACTCCAGGGTTTGTCACTGCACCTCTGTCTTCTATAAGCTTTAGTATCTACTTGTCATTTCCTATCCAGGCAGGAGTCTAGTTAGGAACATACACTCAGGACTATAAGTCTCACATCCTGGCTCCAGAAATATTAGCTAGAACATTCCTGTGTCTTAGTTTCCCATCTGCCAATGGGAGGTAATGTGCTTTCCACAGAAGGCTGCGGAGATTTAAGTCAGAACAGGTCCTCGCACATAAGGAATGTTAATAACTTTGATATTATTAATAAGAATTACTACTAATACTTATTATTAATATTTTTTTCTTTCTAATAATTCATCATAAACTTCCTGGTAACAACTTTCACATTCTTGTATTTATGTTAAATCATCTCTCAAATAATAAAGTCAGACTTTTTTTCTTTATCCCTTTCAAGTTCAGTGCATGTAGTGGGTACTTAGCAAAACAAGTACACTTGTATCTCGAAATCTCACTATGTTTTGGAAAAAAATTGGGGAAATATGTTTTGTGTAGAGAGAGGCAGATTAATTCTAAAGCAAACTATAAATTGTAACAAATAACATTATTTAAATCAGTGATGAGATGAACGTAACTTCAAACGCCAGTAGTCCCAGGTTGGCAGTTGACAGAGAAAAGAAAAAATTAGGGGGAAGATAAAATGTTGCACTTTTATTTCTTTAAATTTCTACTTGGCTTCAGGTTCAGTGAAAGGGGGACTTAAAAGTTGAAAAGTTGCATTGACACATTTTAAGCAGAAAATAATCTGGTATTCTGCTGAAAAGAAAAATTGAGTGGAATTGATGAACTGTTTCAAAGAACTTTTGAGGCAACTTTTCCAAATCTCTGTAAAATACTAGGGTCATGGATAATTGTGAATATATTTTCCTTTTAGGCTAAAACATATAAAGCCAGGATACATAAGTAATGCATATGGCTAAGCGCTCAACTACTACAAGCTGAGTTTTCATGATTTAGCCTATTTATCAGGCCGAGTGCTGCTAAAAAAGACTGCACATCTCCAGCAGTTCGAATCTACCTGATGACAGTCTCCTCTTAAGCTACTAACAACTTTGGGAACTCACTGGAGGGTCAGTTTTGAGTCAGAACCAACTTGAGGGCAATGAGTTGAGCCAGGGAAAAGATAGGTAGTTTGAACTCACCAAAAGGCTCCTCAGATGATGGTTCCCGTGGTCTGCTTCAAAAGATTGCAGCATTGAAAACCTCATGGAGCCAGCTCTGCTTTGCACATATGACTTGGAAAGGACTCAACAACCACAGGATTACCTAATAGATCTGTTTGTCATCTACTAGATGTAAACCCAAGCATTGATCTTAAATCTCCTTGGTTTCAAGCACATTACATCAAGTACATAAAGAAATCGTTTTGGTACTACTTTACTTTTATTGTATTATTTTACGTGTACCGTCAAATCAGATCTGACTCGTACAGGAGGAGATTGCCCCCTCCTTCTCCAGCAGAGCATCTGGTGGATTTGAACTATGTACCTCTGGGATTGCAATGTAGCGTCTTGCCACTAGGCCACCAGAGCTCCCTTCCCTTGGTACTACTTTAAAAATGCATCTAGCTTTCGGCTTTCGGCTCGAGGAGGCCTGGGTGTAACTTTCTTCGGTCGTCCCGCATCCGGGTTCATCCGACACCAGCCGCCTCCGCCATGCCGCCCAAGTTCGACCCCAACGAGATTAAAGTCATGTACCTGAGGTGTACCGGTGGGGAAGTCGGTGCCACTTCCGCTCTGGCCCCCAAGATCGGCCCCCTGGGTCTGTCTCCAAAAAAGGTTGGTGATGACATTGCCAAGCCCACCGGTGACTGGAAGGGACTAAGGATTACAGTGAAACTGACGGTTCAGAACAGACAGGCCCAGACTGAAGTGGTGCCTTCTGCCTCTGCCCTGATCATCAAAGCCCTAAAGGAACCACCCAGAGACAGAAAGAAGCAGAAAAATATTAAGCACAGTGGAAATATCACTTTTGATGAGATTGTTGGCATTGCCCGGCAGATGCGGCACCGGTCTTTAGCCAGAGAACTCTCTGGAACTATTAAAGAGATCCTGGGAACTGCCCAATCTGTGGGCTGCAATGTTGATGGCCGTCACCCTCATGACATCATAGAAGACATCAACAGTGGTGCTGTGGAATTCCCAGCTAGCTAAGGAACTACAGATGAAAATATTTCAATAAAGGATTATTTGTTAACCAATGGAAAAAAAAATGCATCTAGTGCACAGCCAACATCGTCACTCTGACCCACATCACTTCCATCTCTCCTTGGATGACTCATTAGTTTTGGAGTCGGTTCTATCTTTGTGTCTCTTTTCCATAAAACCATCTCTTAATGAAAACTCCTTGGAACCAAGTCAGAACTGATTTTCCCACAGGTTTTGGGAAGCTGTGAATCACATTGCTGGATGTCACCCTTTCTCATACAAAGCAGCTGGTGGGCTAGAATTTTGGTGTTAGCAGTACAACTCTAGGGACTATGGACCAGAACTCAGAGAGGTCCTATTAAAATGTAAATAAATCATGGCTCTCCTTTCTCAGAAATCTTCCCACCTCATCTTCTTCACTCCCCCTCACATAAATCCTAGATTATGTAAATAGGGTATAAGGCTCTACAAGAAAGTTCCGGTGGCTTCGTGATAACAAATTTCACTGTCAACCCAAGGGTATGTGATTCAAATTCACCAGCTTCTCTGTGGGAGAAAGGCAGACAATTTCCTCCTGTGCAATTTACTGCCTCTGAAAACCTGCTGGAGAGACAGCTATGAACCAATTTCTATGCCACAGTACTCAACAACAACATCAAGGTTGTACAGAACTGCTGCCTGGGCCTCTCCGCCCATCTCCTATACTCTCCCCATCACACATACAGAAAGCTCCAGCCAGACTGCCATCCTCGTTCTGCTGACACCAGATTAACATGGTAAGCAAAAGAGCTGCCGTTCCATCTGTCTGAAACACTTTGTCTCGTATTGTATGTTTCGTTATCTCCAGCTCTGAAAGTTCCTTTTCAAATACACTCTTTGCTAGGAAACCCCCATCATCATCTTAAACACTTTCACAACTTCTTATATTCCCAATCTTTTCCTATTCCATTTATACTATCTAATACACTTTATAGACATGATAGATAGATAGATAGATAATAGATAGTTGAGAGATAATAGATGATAGAAGATAGATGATAGATAGATAGATAGATGATAGAGATAAGCAGCTAGACATACATCACGTAGAATTATTCTCATTTTTAATGAGACAGAACCATATATCTTTTCTCCATGTCCTCAGATCATAGCAGTATAAAACTGACTTTAATAGCATGTATTTTATTATTTCTACCACTATATCCTTAAGCTTAAATAATCTTCTCAATTTAAGTTTAATTAATTTTATTATATACCAAAATTAATCCTCTCCTGTGAGACCTGTTTGAGAGACTGAACTCTATAAAATAAGGATTCCTTGCCCTCCTGCTTCACATTGGGTTCAGTGAGTGGAGTCACTGGAAGGAGGCGAACAGGTAGGCCGGGAGAGGTTGAAGTATTTATTGGCCTATGAGTTGCCCCACTCTCAGCTTAGTTCTGACAGTCGTTGCTGCATCTTTAGGTACTTCTGACCTAAGAATTGCAGCAGCCTCTGCTGTCTCATCCCAGAGATCCCCTTCCGGTTCTCTGCACCTTGAACACACTACTGTAAGTAGCTTTATGAAACTATTACTTCTAGCTGTTGTGACATTGATTCAAATTCATTGGCAACCCCATGTGTGACAGAGCAGAACTATGCCCTAGTGTTTTCAATGGATGATATTTGAAGTAGATCACCTAGTCTTTCTCCTGATGCACTACTGAGTGGACTCAAGAACCTAGCTGTTAAGTTCGCAACTAAATGCATCAACCACTTGCACTACCTAGTGACTCCTAAATTATTTCTAGATAAGCAGTTGTGAGTATAACACGTGCTTTTGGTTGGGGACCAGATTCAGATACAGATGCATCTATCCACCATCAGTTTCAAATTTAATTCTTAGATGATGGCAGAAGTGGCCATGCACCTCATATAAAGAGAAGCCAGCAGCCAATCTTTCAAAATACAATTATGTGTTCAAAGACAAGAGGTTTTCTTCACAAAGGACTATACATAAATAATTTTTAAAAACCTACCAGTCAGCCCTAAATAAGCAAGCACTCAGCAACATACTATGATTCCTATTCTCTTTATGTTTTTTTCCCACACAAGCTTCAATAGAATAGAATTTGCCATTCTCTTACGTAAAGTCTGTTTAAGCAAAAGATAAAATAGAGAAATAGTGTCCTGATGTTTACAGTATCATTATTTTGTCTCTAAAATGTGTATCTTTGAATAGCAACTGTGAACACCAAAGCTATTTTCACTGGATTTTTTTTTTTCTTTTCAAGCAACTCCTTCAATGTTTTATTCTCTCTGTTGTTCATTTCTCTTTCTCAGTGGGAAATCCCCAGTGCCACTTCTCTTAAACAAATAATTTACTTTGAGTGTGCTGTCAGAACTCTTATCATCTGTGGATTGAAACCCACACCCACCATTAATCAACTTGATTTAAACTTCCCATCACTGTCTTTCCTTCTTTATTCCCTCATTGTTTTTTTTTTTCTCTAATCTTCCTCTGCTAGCTGCCTCATTTCCTTTTAACTATTCATGGGTCTAGTATTTAGTGTGTGTTTAGTTGTATTGTGTGTAGTTAAGTTTTTTGTTTGTTTGTTTGTTTGTTTGTTTTAGCCACACAGTGTGACATCCCTACTAATAAGACAGTTCCTTAAACCCTTGTTAGCTGAGATACTAGCCCTGTAAACAGAAACATGATGGGCCAGTAGAATGCAATTCTCAGCCCCTAGAATGACTTGTTTCCATTTCTGTGGGAGATGAAGGTAATTAGAACACTTATTAAAGTTACTAGCAGTTGCTCTAATTACACCCAGCCAATAAAAAATACTGAAATACTAACACTGCTTGAGACTAGATTATTGATCTCTGATACCAAAGCAGTTGGTGGGGAGGTGGGGGGGGGAAGGGAGGAGGAAGTGGAAAAGGAGAAAACACACACACACACAGACAGAGACTGAGAGAGAGGGGAGACATCTTGAGAAAGACTGGGAGTGTTTAAATATACCATCCATTTTCCCCCTCTAAAAACTAATATGTATTTGGAAGGGCTGATAATGTGAATGCATAGCTTAGTACCATTTAAAAGCACACATCTGAGAATATAGTGTAAAACCAACAAATACAGTCTGCAAAAGGATCAGCTAATGAGACATGTGGGCACAGGGCCTTAAGCGTCTCTCTGAAAGTTCCAGAAGGAGTGAGAAGATCACAACCCCAAACCGCCCCAGAGTGAAAAGCATATAAAGAACCTGTGGCCCAGCCCCGTGGTGCCTCTAGAGCCAGCAAGAAGTCAGTTTATTCATTGGGAACATCTGCAGTCCCAAGTCACAATTCCTCAATTAGTCCAGTTTCTGCTTTCACTTCAGCAACATAAATTTCAGAAGCCTCTGGTTTCTTCAACAATCCAACAAGGTTTACCTCTGAACAGTTTATAAGTCAGTTTCTTTTTAATTATCTGTAAAAGTCCAGTAAAACCTTTGGCCTTGGCCTTTATTTCAAGGCTCCTTCAGTCACACCTTGCCACAGTATCTCCAAAGCAATGCCACAGTATCTCCACAATCATCACCAGGGTCTAACCCTCACAAGGATCTTGTACTCATCAGGGTCTTGCTCCAGTCTTCCTGTCTCAGTGGGATAAGCACTCTCTTTCTATTATCCTAGTCCACAGATGTTGATGATTTGCAAGACCACGTGTCTGTAGTTAAGGTAGCTGGAAACCAGAGGGGGCTAAGATAATAGCTTAAAAAGTCAACATTAGGCTAACACTGCACAATCTATCAAAATGCACAATACATTTTTTAGCTGAATCATGCAGTAAAACAAAGTAAATTATTTCTTAATACCTGAGTGTTTAACAAGATCACAATATATGATCCAAAGTTCTAGTGTTTTATAGTTCAAACTTTGATAAAAAGATTAGTCCTTTATGTCCATGGAAGAAATGCATAACAAAGAATATTTGCACAAAAAGATTTAGTTAGTCTCTGTCTTAATCATGCAATCTGTTAAAAAAATTACTACTAGATGACCAGATTACTAGGGAGCTCTAGTGGCCTAGTGGCAAGAAGCTGCACTGTAATCCCAATGACACGCAGTTTGAGGCCACCAGCTGCTCCACAGGAGAAGGATGGGCAATCTCCTCTCATGCGATTTACTGCCTTTGAAAACCGACTGGAGGGTCATCTATGAGTTGGTTCCATCTCTACAGTACAGAACAAAAACAGCAACAAAACGACTTATAATTCTAAGATATCAGAGAATATCTAACTCAGTGAGACAGAGAACTTCAAGTAAAAATATGTTCCATTTAACCAGTGATATCATATTGCTTATTAATTTCTGTGTATAATTTGTAATTCTCATATCTAACCAAACCCAGTTGCCCTTATCCATTGCCTTAGAATGGACAGAGTAAGCCTAAAGAACTTAGTAGATGGCTCCAAAAGGTTAGCTGCAAATATATTTACAGAAACAAATTATCCACTGTTCTAAAATGGAGCAGCTAGTAAGTTTTAAAGTACAATTTTTGTTTTTTAGTCAGTGGTAGAATGTCTCGACCACAATGCCACTAAAGCTCAATCCACTTGTCCTGTGTCTTCCTAATATTACTACATTGCAGAACTACTGATACACTACACTACAGAGCTACATAGGAATCTCAACTGGCCTAGTGGTTAGAACTTTGCTGGCACCCTATCGTATTTAGTTCAAATCTACCCACTGTTCCACAGGAGAATGGGCAATTTCATCCATAAAACT